TCAGAGGACTGCTGTTCACATTCTGTTTCATTCCTCTCCATCTCACGCTTTTCAAATCAGGTGATACATAGAGCTGGGGATGAGCTGTGCTTGGATCCAGGGTCAAATTTGCTGTGTGGAAGAAATAATGGAAAAATCTTCACCATTAATTGTGGAATTTTTAGCTCTTATTTGAAGAAATAATTTTTATAGCTATCATTTTGTTTTGCAAAAGTAGGACTCTAGAGCTGGGAAAAATTCAGGGAATTTTTCTAAAAGGAGATTACAGTTATGCTGATGTTAAATAGGTAATACAATTGAACACCATTAGTGATTTCAGAAGTATTCAGTACTATAGAGCTGATATCCCAGGGATCTATGACACTGATGGAGTTAGTGTTAAAATGGTAGGCTTCTGAAACCATGGTTTGCATGAAAATACTTTGACTTGTGTGTAAGATCCAAGGAGAAAGTCGTCAGGGGAAAGTTACAAAGGAAATTCTATTGTGATTGTCTTTTTTTTTTTAATGGTAGCAATTCTAGATAGAAGCACATGCAATTTGATTGTGCAAGAAAGCCACATTCATTGCAAAATCTGGACTCAATTAATTTTAGAAGAACGTTAGAATGTAGAAAAAAATAGCAAAAGGAGAATAGTTTGGGGATTGCACCATGTCACATAAATAAACCAGACATCAACGTGCCAAGATAAAACGTCTATGCAGATTGAAACACAATATATCACAATTCATGTGGTTTATCTGTATATCTGCCCTTTCAGAATCACATAGCTTTATTTCACCTAAAGATTACAAGTTAAAATAGAAATAAATGTAGTGTGGTACGCCTGCTTGTTGAAACATTTTGAGCCACAAAACCCCAAAAATGCATCTAAGAGATTGATTTGTGATGCCACTAAAAAAAAAAAGAAAGAAATAGCATGCCTGCACACACACAACTGTTTCCTTCCAAGATCGCAGAACGGAAGCCCTCCTATAACTACATCTGGATGAGAATGGATGCTATGACACGAAATGTTGAGTATTGTATTTTAAGCCCAGTTAACGTTTTTTGTCCAGCTTGCAACTTAACAGAGTTTATGACTTAGCCACAGTAGGTGACAGAACAGAGGAGATGGGAGAAGATGAGGGATACCTCCTACTGATCAGCCTTTACATTTCCTAACCCTTCCAGTTTCAATCTGTTTGCCAAACTGTTCCTTCCTTGCAAATTACTCTTCTTGCACCTACAGTGGCTTCACGGCATGTCTGTACTTCACGCTGCTCCTGTCCTGTTTATGCCGGCTCCACTCAGAATGGATTTAGGAAAATCCTGCTTGGATCATTTTGGCAACAGCTGCAATATATTCTGTCCAGATTCAAGCTACCATATTGTCCCATTGGACAATTTCCAGGCTTCTGTTCCCTCCTGCCTTTCTTTCTCTTCTAGAATTCCATTGGCAGTTGCTTTGCTTCCTGTAGGTGGGGCTTCCTGGATTGACAGATGATAAATAGAGAGAGAAGAGAGAGAGAGACGGACAGTTAGACACGCACACATATACATGTGTGTGTGTGTAAATATCCTAAATGAATACAGTGGTACCTCAGTTCACGAATGCTTCTGTTCACGACCAATTCGGGTCACGAACAGCACCATTCGCAAAATTTTGCTTCCGTTCACGAACTCCGCATCACGTGATGAACAGGATCCG